TGATGACAGTTGGGGCATTCACCAATCTGATTATAGGAGGCAGTCCAGGCATCCTCTCCACTACTGCTAGGAGTCTTAGCTGGGGTCATCCGTGTGGAAACTTATAAATTACCCCAATACCAGGTTTCTCCCTAACCTCATAATGGCCTCTCTAGTAAGATATCTCTTTCATTGTTCTTCTACTAGATTCCTCCCTAAGATCTCAAATAGATCCATATCTATCACCATGCACAAAATTCAAATCCAAGTGGGTCAAGGACCTCAGCATAAATCTGGTTACACTGAACTTGATAGAAGAGAAAGTGGGAAGTACCTTGGAATGCATTGGCACAGGAGACCACTTCCTAAATAGACACCAGTAGCGCAGACACTGATCTCAATAAGTGGGTCCTCCCGGAACTGAAAACCTCTGTAAAGCAAAGGATGCTGCCAATAAGACAAAAGCCTACAGAATGGGAAAAGATCTTCACCAACTCTTCACCACATCTGACAGAGGGCTGAACTCCAAATTATATAAAGAACTCAAGAAACCAGAGATCAAAATACAAAATAACCCAACTGAAAAATGGGGTACAGAGCTAAACAGAGAATTCTCACCAGAAAAGACATAAATGGCCAGAAGACATTTAAGGAAGTGTTCAACATCCCTAATCATCAGGGAAATGCAAATCAAAATGACTCTGAGATACCATCTTACACCTGCCAGAATGGTTAAGATTAAATATATATATGTGTGTGTGTGTGTGTGTGTGTGTGTGTGTGTGTGTGTGTATTGAGGACAGCTTATACTGGAGAGGATATGGGGTCAGGGGAACACTCCTCCACTGCTGGTGGGAGTGCAAACCTGTATAGCCGTTTTGGAAATCAGTATGCCAGCTTCTGAGAAAATGGGAATCAATCTACCTCAAGACCCAGCAATACACTCTTGGGCATGTATCCAAAGGACATTCAATCACACCACAAGAACACTTGCTTAACAATATTCATAGCAGTGTTATTCATAATAGCCAGAACCTGAAAACAACCTAGATGCCCCTCAACTGAAGAATGGATAAAGAAAATGTGGTACATTTACATAATGGAGTATTACTCAGTAGTAAGGAACAATGACATCATGAAATTTGCAGGCAAATGGATGAAACTAAAACAAAACAAAACATCTTGAATGAGGTAAGCCAGACTCAGAAAGACAAACACAGTATGTATTCACTCGTAAGTGGATATTAAATGTAAAGCAAATGATAACCAAACTACAATCCACAGCTCCAGAGAAGCTAGGTAACAAGGAGGACCCTAAGAGAGACGCATGGTCACCCTGGAAAGGAAAAATAGATGAGATCTACTGGGTAAACTGGGGGGGGGCAGTGGGGGTGGTGTTAAGTGGGAGGGGAGGGGTAATGAGACCACATGTTATTCTTACTAGTTAAAAATATCTCAAACAAATAAAACTATGTTTTCTGAGAGTGTTTTCCAACATCAGCCTATTCAGTTACATATTTCAGGCTCATTAACTAGATGTAACACAAAAGTTTGGCTTTTTTTTTTTTTTTTTTTTTTTTTTTTTTGATAAAATCTAATCCAATTTCCATCCCTTGGAATTAGATATACTACAACCCCCCCAAAGTTCTTAATATTTAAAGATTCACTCTGTGTGCTCTCTCTCTCTGTGTGTGTCTCTCTGTGTGTCTGCCTCTGTCTCTCTCTCACGTGTACACACATGTGCATGCAGATGCCTCAGAGGTCAAAAGAAGGCATCACATCCCTGGAGCTAGGGTTATAGCAGCTGGAATGGTACCCGAACTCTAGTCCTCACCAACCACCAAACAACCTGTCCAGCCTCAAGTTCATTTTAACTAATGATGGGTCCTCATGTCTTTATTTGTGTATTTTAGTGCCTGCACTTTAATATTTCTACATATTAAGCTTATGGCTTATTACAACCTCAGATTTCTTATTAATAAATTACTACTGAATCAAGATCAGCTGTTTTTACAAATACAAGGCCAGATCTTTCTGCTAAATTCCGTCTAGTGAGTTCTGGTCAACCATTGACGTTCACTAAGGTAATTCTGCATGTTTTATCCTATCCCAGGAGATGCTCCTCTAGGTTGGACAGTACGTGAAAATGTAATCACTGGAAAGGTCATAAAATGTATGCACAATAAATGGCAGCAAGTCTTTCAGACTTTTCAGTTGAAAATGACAGAAACCTACTTATTTTTACACCCAAGAGAAGAAGGACACTGGGCCAGAGGCAAGGCCTTGTCTTTTCTTTCTTTTCTTTTTTTTCAAGAGAGGGTTTCGCTATGCAGCTTTGTAGACCAGGCTGGCCTTAAATTCACAGAGATCCACTCACAGAGGTCCAACTTTCTCTGCCTCTGCCTGTGCTGGGATTAAAGGTGCGCACTACCACTGCCCAGCTGTTTCTTCTTGTCTTATTTCTGCTTCTTCATGCTACACCTCAACCTCCACCCCCAATACATACTACCTCACTCCTAGCTGCCTCCCACCCGGCCCTCAAGTGTGTGTGAACGACCACACACACAAGTGTGTGTCTTGATGTCAACACTAGCCCTCCTCAGCTAGAACTCCTTACCTGGTATTTAGGGCAAGTCTGCCATTACTATTATTTGATTATTGTTGTTGCTGCGGGTGAGTGTGTGGGTGCATGTGGACATGTGGAGGTCAGAGGACAACTTTAGGACTCGGTTCTCTGTAGCACAAATAATATGGACCCAGAGACAGATACTGGGGTTCAAGCTGAAGATCAGAAAAACATAGCAGCCAAGCCGCCAGAGAGCTCTTACCTCTACCAAGCCTGGCAGGGGGATCCTGTCCTCACTGTGGCTGGAGACTAATTCCCAGAATCCAAGACCCTGATCCTATCTTACATACCTCCCTAGTGCTGGGATTAAAGGCGTGAACTCTGTTTCTCTTAGATTGATTCACTCTTATTGTAGCCTGGGTGACCTTGAGGCTTTGTCTCCTGAGTCCTGGGATTAAAGGTGTGGCCACCAATGTCCAGCTTCAGTGGCTAACTAGTGCCTGGCTTTGCATTCTCATCTTTGGCCGCTTTATTAGGTCACAAACAATATATCACCACAATCCTCTCCTTTCACTGTGGGATCTGGGGATTAAACTCAGCTTCTCAGACTTGCACAACAAGAATTCTCCCTCTGCAGTATCATGTGGTCCCATCTGTTTCTTGTGTTTTGCTTCCTCTTTGAAACAAGGTCTGGCTGTGTGGCTTATTCTGGCCTCGAACTCTCTATATTACCCATGCTGTGATCCTCTTCCCCAGCCTCTACTGTTGGGATTGGGATTTACAGGCCCAGATCACACCTCTGGTATTGGAGTTCACACCTGAGTCCAAAGCTCCATTGCAGTCACTCTGGAGGCAGGGGTTAGGATTAGCCATCCACCTTGGCTCAATCAAATATGGCCACGGGCGTAAGTCCAGGCTGAGCAAGCATGGCTACTCAAAGGCACCCTTGATGAGAGGTGCGATTTTCAGAGAAAGAGCTGAAGTGCAGAAAACTACCTAGGGAACAAATGCTCCAAATGTGCCCAGTATGGGAATATTAGTGGACATAACTCCATGTCTAAAGTGTGAACTAGGTTCATCCAAGGTCAAAGGAGGACGAGTCTTAAGACTAAAGACTAGAAGGCAAGGGGCTGGAGAGATGGTTCAGCGGTTAAGAATGCCAACTGTTCATCTAAAGGAGCAGGGTTTAATTCCCAGCACCCACATGGCAACTCACAACTATTTGTAACTCTAGTTCGGGGGATCTGATGTCCTATGCAAGCAAAACACTCATATGTATTAAATTAAAAACATTTTTTTTAAAAATAGAACATGGTGTGCATGCTATCACTTCAGAGCCAACCTGGGCTACAGAATGAGACACACACACACACACACACACACACATACACACATACACACACACATACACACACATACACACATACACACATACACCACAGAATGAGATATACACACACACACATACACACGCACAAACACACATACACATACATACACACATACACACACACATACACACATACACACACACACATACACACATACACACACACACGCACACATACACATACACACACAGACACACACACATACACACACACATATACACACACACAGAATGAGATACACACACACATACACACACAGACACACACACATACACACAGACACACACACACATACACACACATACACGCACACACACACAGAGGGGGAGTGGAGGGAGGGAGAGAGAGAGAATTTGAGGAGTTAGTACATTAACTTTTCAATTTTGACGTAAATTAGCTTTTCTAATCACCAGAAAATCTAAGGTGTTCTTACTTCAGTTTTCTCCAGTAGACCATGGTAAAATAATAAGTGCTATTGGTTAGTTACAGATATTAAATGAGATCATATGGTAAGCTGCCTGGCGTGTAACAGATATTTAATAGGGCAGCTGCCATTGTTAATATCAGTATATCTCATCAGTATTGTGAAGTAAAATAAAAAGTATTGTGAAGTTACAGCATAGCAAAAGGTAGTGGGGACTGGATAAAATGTAGATGCTTACGTTTGTCTATGAAACATATATCAACCATGATATTTATTTGCATATATATTGGGAAAATGCAACATATCCCGAGGATATATAACATAGAAAGAGACAGTAATCAATATCCAAATACAGGAGATAATAAAAATATAACTATCCTATAAATGGGTCTAGAGCGTGTGCACTGCCTGTTGCACAGCTGTGCACACCTGTAGGGTTGTACAAAGAAACACTAAATGTCTCACCTCCTGAAATGTAAGCCTTGTTGTCATATGGATTGAAGCAAATATGGGGTGGAGAAACAGTCCTTTTGTTTAAAATAGAAACTTTGAAGGGGACCAAATGGACACATGACAAACCAAGATCCAGTTCCCCTGGAGGGGAAAAAGGAAGACAAAAAAGAAAAGAAAAGAAAAATTCTTCCTTTTTGGGATGCGACCCGGGAATGACTGATAGCAAAATTGACGTTTCCTCTTCAGTGAAATCCTCCAGCCAAGCTGGGCGCTAACCGAGTAGGCGATTTCACTTCATCGCTTCACAAAAGACTTCCAAATTCACTGCAGCAGACACTGCAAAATAAAAATGTTAAGTACATCCTAGCTGGCGGGGAGACGGAAGCCTTCGTGTTCAATCAAAGGTTTGCAATAATAGGATTCATTTTTTAAAAGAAAAAAGAAAGGACAGATGGGATTAGGAAATGTTGCAGTGGAGACTGTCGTGAGAGGCTCAGTCAGCCTGCCTTTTGTGGACCTGCACAAAGATCCCAGAACCAGACTGGCTTAGGACAGCCTGGGACTAGGGTGCCAGAGAGAGGCCACCGGCTCCCGGACACCCTGCAGGGCAGGAGGCTGAGACCATGCACCAAATTTACAGCTGCAGCGATGAGAATATTGAAGTCTTCACCACCGTGATTCCATCCAAGGGTGAGTAACAATCGCCCTTGGAGTCCCCTACTGTGGCATCTCATGTGGGAGGTGACCGATTGCTTTGGGGCTAAGGCACACTGGTGCACAGTACCCACGGGTCCCGAGCTCTGCCAGCTTCTCCGTTTTGATGGCTTTGATGCCCCCACTTTCTCGGGTGGGGGGAGACAAGAATAAATATCAATCACAGGGGAACAATCTATCAAGGAGGAGATGAGCGCAGGGTAGCGCTTCCTCCTTCACTTAATTCAATACCGGCAACCCAGCAGGCTCAGTGACCGGCAGCAAGCGACCTACTGTTAAGCAGACAGAGATGGAAACAAAATTTCCAGGGTACCCGATAGGCTTTTTCATGGTCTGCAGTGAGAAAGCAGATTCTGAGAGGGGAATCAGCTGTCCCAAAGCCAACTCTGTCTGACTTGGGAGGAGGAAGGCCCCGGGGTGGCCTGACACTCAGGGAAGGCAATGAAACTGGACCCTGACCCCAGGCTGACTTCTTCACAGAACCCCGGGGTCCTCTGTCTCACTCCCTGCCACCAACAGCCACCACCTGACTTTACAGGCTCTGGTTCCTGGCTATAGGTGAAAGCCCTGGGCAGGGCTTAGGAGACGGCCTTCCAGGGGAGTGCTGGTGATTCAGTAGAGAGCCCTCTGCCTTGACATTGTTCTGACCCTGCAGCCCCTTGCCCTGTTGTGGCACAGATCGCCTCTGGTGTCACTGTGATGGTCTGGCTGAAATGGTCTGGATGTTGGCTGGTGCTGTGAGCCCGCATTCAAACAACTCTTGTCTTCCTGCCGATGTCAGCCAGACAGGGGCCTTGCTTGCGGTGGTGGAGGGGGGAGTGGGGCGGGGGAGAGACTCAGCCAGGACATAGACAGATAGCTGAGCATAAACTGAGCTCTCCACACCTACTGCAGAGGGAGGGGAGAGAAGGAGAGGGTTTGGGACTTTGCCCATGTGTAGGAGTTGGAATTTTCTCTGGAGATTCTGAAAGTCAACCCATCTGAGGAGTGACTGGATCTGGGTGAATAGGAAGGTCCTTTCCATTTACTTTATCTCTGCTTTCTTGTGTTTGTGTATGGGGGGGGGGAGGGGGATGCATTACGAGTGGTGAACCAGGAGCCCATGAATGGAAAGCAAGGGCTGGACCCCTGAGCTACCTCCCAAGACCTGAAAATGGATGTTGAGTGAGAAACAAAAAGCAAGCTGAAAACATATATATGCTTGATAGCACACTTGGGACCACAGATAACTCTGCATCGTGTTTAGGAGCACATTTTTGGAGCAAAGTATGAAAAGAAGACTAGAAAGGCCCATAGGCGATAAAACCAGTAAGGCCAGAGACCCTGGGGAAGGCTGGGAGGAGAGTTAGGATGAGGTGAAGGAGGGCCCAAGACCTCCTTGCTAATTTTTGGGAATCAAAAATATTAGCATGTCTGCTTTCACTGAGAAGGGTGACTCATGTCTGTAGCCCAAGAATGCTGAGGCCTGAGGACCTCAGGACCACGGCCAGCTGGACATAGAGCAACACAATGTCCCAACAGGAAAAGAACAAGTAGGAAGAAAAAGTCCTTGATAAAGTGTTTAGATTTCTGCCATTTCTGTACTGTGTGACCTTGGAGCAGCTACTTCTCCCGGCATGGGTTCCCACTTCTGTAAAAGATAAACACAGTTTAGCCTCCAAGGTTATCACGGAAAATAAATGGATTGATACACGGAACAATTGTAATGGAGCTGGCATGATTACACAGCATCAAGCATACCACATACAAAGTGATTAGTGTTTTCAGCCTGTGTGTGTGGCCATGAGTATGTTCATTAGAGATAAGTGTTTGGTCCTACATTCTTCTGTCTTCATCTGCCTTAAGCTAAGTACCCATAGGCACTTCACTGCTGGGGACTGATCTTCTAGAGAGGATTAATCGTGGCTTTTGTAGAGACCTCAATGGATGAAGCACATCTCTTTCCATGCCTTGCTTCATCCTGGGGCCTCCTGAGAGTCTTCAAGCAGAAGGCTCCCACAGAGAGGAGCTGATGCTCTCAATTCTGAGTCACTGCATATGAAAGCAACAAATGACCCAGATCCCAGGTTGCCTACAGGACTGCAGAAAGGCAAGTTTGCTCGACCTTGTGCAACAGGGTCTGAGTCCCCTGAGTGGGCCATTTCCCAGAAGCTATGCACGACAATGACCAACAAGTCTCACCAGATCAGGATAGCATCACTGAGAGTATAGCCTTACATAGCCTAGTGGTTAGGGGTGAAAGGCCTAAGCCTGCTGTGGTGGAGCAGTCGGTGGTCCTGACTTTTTCATCAGCCCAAACTGGAACTCTATGTCAACTAACAACACTGCTGCACTTCCCCCGCCTCCCAGGCCCTGGGAGTGGCCACTCTACTTTGCATCTCTATGAGATCAACTGCTCTAAATACCCCAGATGGGTGCATGGGATAGCTCTTTTGTGTCTCACTTAACCTAGCACAGTCTTCGGGGTTTAAGCATCTTCTCTTTACTGTTTAAGGCTGAGCAGAGTTCTAATGTGTGGGTAAACCATATTTATCCATTCATCTGCTGATGGGCGCTGGGTTCTTACCAACCTTTTAGCTATTGTAAATGATGCTAAAGAAATTTTGTTGTAGTCAAGCCGAGTGACATCTTAACTCGCAGTGGAACTCTGCTCTCCTTTCCACCCCTTTCCCAATAACCCTCCAACCATTCTCATTCTCAGCTCGGTACCAGGCTTCAGGCGTTTTCTAAAACCATTTCTTTATCTCTTTCAGTGTCCAGTCCATCCAGGAGAAGAGTCAAGAGCGCTCAACATCTCTTGACCAAGAATGTAAGGAAACTCATTTGGTTTTGACCCTCTTTGACTTTCAGTGCTAAAACAATGGTGGCTTCTTGACGCCCAGCCCCTCCGCTGCTCTCAAGGATGAGGAGGCAAGGGTCTCTCATATGGTTGCTTGATCATTTAGTCAAAATAACCAACAGTACCAAACATACACCAGAGTCCCCTGAGAGATTCCCTCATTTTGGCATTATTTCCAGGCACAGGGGAGACCACACTCTGCATGCACAGAGTTCATGGCATGTGTTTGTCATGTTCTATATTCTCACCATGAGAACCACTCATACAATTCCTTATCACAGAGGCCTCCTAGCAGAACAACAGTCATCCATATGCCCACCTATCCATCCCTCGGGTATTTGCATTTCTGTTATGCTAGAGAAGTTGTAGTAGATGCCCAGAGTATGAGAGTAATTTTGTTGGTGTTTGTTTGCTTCGTTGTTGGAGATAGTCCTTGTGTACCTCAGGCTGTCCTCAAGCCCACCACATAACCCAAGCTAGCCTAAAACACAAAATTCTCTTGCCTTAACCTCCAAAATGCTGGGACGATAGGTACGATGTTTCAAACAATGGCTTTTGCTTACATGTTTGTCTGGTAAGGCCAGAAATTCTGAGCAGTTTGGGGGTGTCCAGCCCTGTACTGTCCCTTCATGGCAGCCTCCTTTAGACTTTTAAATTGTGTTTTGGTATTTTTTTTAATGCAGTAAAGTTGTTTACATTCTCTTACAGGCTAATGATGCTATACACTTCCATTTTACATACATATTTATTTATGTCAAAATTATCAATATATCTGCACTGTGTTTTGAAATGAAGACTGATTGGTTCCTCTTCATGATGTGGAGTTGCTATCACAAATTTTAGACAATACTATTATGGATTTTTAAGGATTGTGATTTTAAAAAAATCTTTTCTCCGTTTTAAAAATGTGTTTCCTTTTTTAATTAAAGGGGGTGTATTTGTTGTTCCTAGAAACATTCTTTATACTTTTGTTTTAAAGAACACAGGTACATTAATCACCCTGAACAGGGCAGAGTGGCCAGGCAGTAATAAGAACATTGCCTCCAGCTTTGCTAAACCCCAATTCCAAACCAGCATGTATCTACTGCAAAACCTCAAATACTGCAAGGATTTTAAATTTAGCATCACAAAATTCTGAGACATTGTACAACAGAGTAGAAGATGCAGGGACTTTATGGTCAAATTCCTACGTGTAAAGCCCAGCTCCTTTGGCTTCTATTTCTGTGGGTTAGTTGCCTAGCTGCCCTGGAATCCCACTTCCTTGGCTTTAAGATGAGGTTATTACAAACGTGTCTCTCAAGGACAAGGGACAAATGACTTAACATACAGCAACTATCTGGTTCAGAGACTGCCACATATCAAGTATTCAATAGATGTTGGTATGGTTTTCTGATTTGGGTTTATTTTATTTTATTGAGACAGGGTCTCAATCTTTAGTTTTGGCTGGCCTAGAACTCTTCATGTAGACCAGGATGGCCTTGAAGTTGCAACCTTTAGCTGATGCACATAGATATCACAGAAGTAGCTCAAAAGAAGTCACCCACATAAAGAGCGGGTCTGTTAAGCATTCTAGGAGAATGGAGCCTTTGATAATAAATAGGAAAGCTGGCAAGAGGAAAATCTACCTACCTCTGCCTTCCAAGTGCTAAATTAAAGGTGTGTGTCACTGTACCCAGCTGTCTTAGAGTTTTATCGCTGTGAAGAGACGCCATGACCATGGCAATTCTTATAAAGGAAAACATTTAATTGGGTCTGGCTTACAGTTTCAGAGGCTCAGTCCATTATCATCAGGGCAGGGAGCATGGCAGCACATGGGCAGACTTAGTGCCGGAGAAGAAGCTGAGAGTTCTACATCTTGATCTGCAGGCAGCAGAAAGAGACTACTACACTAGGCCTACCTTGAGCATGTGAGACCTCAAAGGCCATCCCCAAAGTGACACACTTCCTCCAACAAGGCCACACCTCCTAATAGTGTCACTCCCTATGGGCCAAGCATTTAAACACAGGAGTCTATGAGGACCATGCCTATTCAAAGCACCACTCCAGTCACTGGTGCTTTTTTAAGTGAAAATTTTCCATATACTACTGTATAATTATGCTCATTGTCTGGCAATGGACTACTTTTGTGAATTGCTTTTATTGAATTAACAACAGATCTTGAATATCTTTCCATGCCAAAAAATATGTGAATATCCATGTGTGTAATATATTGTATAGGATACATACATACATACATACATATATACATATATACATATATATTATGTCCCTCTCTTAATGATTGCATAGTATTCCAATATATGAATTACCGAGTCAAATCTGGAATTTTAAAATTCATTGTCCAAAGTCATAAATAAATAGTGTTTCTCCACTTTTCTATAAAGATGATACCCCAAGGAAGGTTCTTGACAATATTGTTATGTTCTCTCTTTTTTTAACTTTTTAATTTATATTACAACCTTGTTTTACATGTCAATCCCAGTTCCCTCTCCCTCCCTTCCTCCCCTGTCCCCCACCAACCCCCAATCTCATCCCCTTTCTGCTCCCCAGGGAGGGTGAGGCCTTCCATGGAAGATCTTCAAAGTCTGTCACATCATTTGGAGCAGGGCCCAGGCCCTTCATTATGTTCTTAGACATTTACTCTTACACGTCTTTGAGGGTAAATTTGTGGATGTGAAGAGACTAGTCAGGAGGATGAGAAGACTTTTGTATTTGTTGCCAAAGTCCTGCTGTTCTAGAACACCACACCAATACTGCAGGATATTCCTGTTGTTCAGCTTTCATGGGCTGATAGGTGGAAATGCCTTATTGTTTGAGTGTAATTCTTAATGTCCTTCATAGGTTTATTGACCACTCAATATTTTTCCCTGTGGACTTGTTATTCATCTCCTTTGCCTGCTTTTATGTCAGTTGTAGGTCCTTTCATAAGGACTTTGGGGAGCATTTGCTATACTAGGAAAGAGAAGGGTTTGAGTCATGCGCTCCTGACCTCAGTCATAAACCCTGAGAATTAACAACCTAGTTCATAAGGGGGGTGGAGAGGATAGGCTTGTTCACAGTTAACTCAGGGTCAGGAAACTTCACTGAGGGTGTTCAAGCCTTGGCCAAGCTGCCCAGCTCCCCCTCTGTTTACAAAGCTCAGGCCAAGGCACAGAACACACAGGCCAGGCTGGGCAGGGTGACACAAGCGTGAAATCCCTGTCTTGGTGAGACAAGGGTTTCTGTCCTCTTCTGAAAGTGCCCCAGGAAAACCTATCCTACTGTGCACAGATGCTAACATTTACAGAGTTCTTTGGCTCCCAGTGCTCATTTGCATCTCCCTTGGGCTGGGCTGCCATTGGACAGAGATGTATTCTCTTCCTCCTCTGTGAATACCACTTTCCTACTGAGCCACTTCCTCTTGGATGTCACTGGAGTTGCATCTTCTTCCAAATCCTAAAGCGCATCCACTACTCCAGGGTGCTTTCTCTCCCTCCCTGCCTCCCTCTGCTTTATTGACGTCTGAATCATCCTGATGTCTGTGGATGTCATAGAAATATCTCAAGAGAATGCACCCAGATGAGGAATGGGTCTGTTTAGCATCCCAGGATAATGGAGCCCTTTGATAATCATCAGGGAAGCTAGCAAGAGGAAGAACAGAGAAACAGGATTGTAAATATCGCTTTGTCCCAAGACTTGATGCTTGTGTGGGGACATGTGGGTGGAAGCTCCTGGCTTATGCACTAAACCTTCAATTGCACTTGAACATTCCCAGCTGGGTGTAGGAGCTTCTGAGGTTTTACTCAGAAGGCATGAAGCCATGGTACACATTGGTTCTGCAAGTGCAGCTCTATGGCATCAAGAAAGACACAAAGCTCCTCCGGACATCAGTTTTCCTATTAGAGCCAGCTTGAACATTCCTATAGATTCCTTCTGACCCAGGCCATGACTGTGTCCCACCATCTAGGTCTCGGCCTCTAATTCCTCATCTGATCTCCAAGCTGGGAGATGGAAGGATGGATTTGGGATGTCAGGGGATGGATGCCCTCAGTAGACATCGTGATGTCCTAGAACAGGAAAAACCACTTGCAAATGTGACAGGTGAATACGTGCTCTGAAGATATCAGGAATCTTTGCTAATAATAATGGGCATTGATTTTGCCAGCCCAGCAAGGGTGGGCATGAATACCCCTGCTCTGTTAACTCCTGTCAAACCTGGGGCTTAGAACATGCCTCGGTTAGCAGAACGTTTGTTTTTCATTGGCAATCTGATAGGAAAGGGAGATTTTATTGTTTTAATATGCATTTAGTCACTAATGTTCAGAAAATTTACAGGCTTTACTCATATTTTCCCTCCATTTTCTATTGTTTGGTAGAGACTTTTATGAGCATAGGGTAATTGCTCATCATATGTAATGCTATGTCATATTAAGCTACATTCTACTTCAGTGTTTGTTACTCAACACACAGCTTTGACATGGCTCATCACCCAAACCAAACAGAATTGCTCTCCCCCAGTGACCTGATACTTATTCCAACAATATCATTCAAGATACAGTTTCCTCCACTGACTTGAAATACCACCCTGTTATCACGTCTTTAAAAGCCCATTTATTTTTCACTCTGGCATCTCCCAAAAAGCAACACTACAGTTCTGTGTACTCAACTGAAGGGGGTCTGCCAAAAGCTAAACTATCAGGGCCGAGCCCATCCGCCTCGCTCGCAGATGCACAGGAGCCGGAAGCTGACACAGGACAGGCCCTTGCAGGACAGCCGTGCACAGAAGGAAGTGGCGGGCCATGCAAGCCTCAGGGAGGCTGTGGAGTTATGGAATACTGGAGCTTCTAATGAATGAGCCCCATGGAGTAAGGGCAATCAGAATGAATGGCCCTGTGTCCTGCAAATGGATAAAATATGCAGCATCTGTCCCCTGGCTGCCAAGAGTCCCCCATGACTCCCCACATTAAGATAAAATGCCTGCTATTATTTCTCTCCTGTTTTCACATTTAAATTATTCCAGTGGTTTAAGTACAGCTGTCCCTCAGGACCCTCAGGGATTGGTTCCAAGACATCCACAGAAACCAACATTCACATGCTTAAGTTCCCTGTGTGTGTTCAGTGCAGAGGTGGGTGTCTTTAAAGCAGTCTATAAAGATTTTCATACCATAGTTCGATCCTATCTCCTCTCCCTCCAACTCCCGGCCCCATCCTCCCAAACCCGCCCAACTTCAGTTCCTTCTCTCTCTTTAAAACAAGCAGAAACATCCAATCATGGGATCAGATCAGTGTTGGCTGACAACTCCTGAGCGGGTCACCTGCTCTGGAGTGTGGCTGATATATATACCCAGTGTCACTCCATCGGAAAAAAAAAACTGAGTTTTCCTCTCCTAGTGGCTGTCAGTTGTGAATCGCTTCTGGGCGAGGGGCGGGGCTTCATGCCCTTGGCCCTTTCCTCCATACTGGGTTTGCCCGGTTTGAGCATGCACATGCTGCAGTGTCTCTGTAAGTCGTCATATGCTTCTAGAAGACCTGTGTCCTCGAAGTCACCCACCACCTCTGGTTCTTACCATCTTTCCCCTTCTCTGCATAGGCAAATATAATCTTCTGTTGATTCTTTTCATACCATGTATTTTGATCACATTTACCACCACTCCTCTTCCAACCCCTCTCACATCCACCCCACCTCCCAGGGTCATGTCCCTTTTTAAAAAACAATCTGATAAGTCCCTCCTTTGTGCTGTCTATATGCTTATGGGCCATCCACCGAAGCATGGTTGACCTACCAGAGGTGACATCACTGAAGTAAACAAACTCTTCTTCCCCGAGCAGCCAACAACTGTCCATGGGTTTTTGGCTAGGAATGGGGCTTCTGATGCTCTCCTCCCTCTATGCTGGAATGTGGATTGGCTTGATCTTGTAGCCACAGCTACTGTGAGTTCCCCAATGGTCCCTGAGTCCTGGGGTCAGGTTATTGATGAACCATTTGTGGATGAGTACTAACAGACTATTGTAATGAAACCACCTTAGCTTTTAACACTCTCTTCTGGGTTTTTGCAATCTCTACTCAGTGACAATTCACTTACCGCCACTCTGGTCCAGGCTAGTTACAGTTGCCCATGGACATGAGGTGGGTGCGGGGCAGCTCCAAGCACTGGAGGACTCAGGGGAGGATGACTGACCGTGTTTCTTGCTCCCTGTAGGTGGTGATCGAGTCGGACCTGTATCCACCAAGACCCTTGGAGCTGCTGCCACAACGCTGTGAGCGCAGGGACACAGGAGACCGCAGGTTTGGCAGGCTGCAGACCGCCAGGCCACCTGGGAGTCATTCTACCAAAACCCCGGTCAGACCTGGTAAGTGAGTTCCTCAGGTTCCCCAGGAATCAGGGACCCCTGAGAGCCAGTGACACTCCACCAAAAGCACAGCAGTTGCTCATGTGTCTATCCTGTGAGCCTCCCTGGCAGGAGGACTGAGCATCCAGTTTTCAAAACAAAAACTAAAAGCAAAAGACCCTGTTAGTGTTAAGGAAGCATCGGCTGTTGGGTCTCACCTATAGACACAAGACGGCCAACACCTTTACCTCCCTACAGCGGCTCTGCCTCCCTAGGTGCAGCATGAGAGGTTCAATAAAAGGCCCTGGGACCGGCACCACAGCCATAACACCCAAATTGTACCACTTTTCCCCCACACTTGAGTGACTTAATAATCTGTAAGAAGAATTTAGGAGCGAACCTTTTTGAAATCTGGAAACAGTAACGGTACCTTGGATACTCTTTTTTCTGAACTGGTTTCCACTCTGAACAGTAACAGACTATTCACATTCTAGCCTTCCAGAGTTTCTAATAATAGTTTCTCTTTAATTGATAGTTTAGGCTTCTTTCTGATGTGCCAACAACCTAAAATCATTCATGTTTTAATTCCAAAACTACCTAGTTGAGAATGATGGCTTACACGTGTAACCTCAGCATTTGAGAGGCTGAGGCAGGAGGACTGTCATGAGTTCAAGGTCAGCCTGGGAATGAGGAGCTGGAGTGTGCAGTGTGAGTGCAACCCCGTGCTGGGTGTGCAAGTGTGAGTGCAGTGTGAGTGAAACCCGTGCTGAGTGTGCAGTGTGGGTGCAGCCCCGTGCTGGGTGTGCAGTGTGGGTGCAGCCCCGTGCTGGGTGTGCAGTGTGGGTGCAGCCCCGTGCTGGGTGTGCAAGTGTGAGTGCAGTGTGAGTGAAACCCCATGCTGGGTGTGCAGTGTGGGTGCAGCCCCGTGCTGAGTGTGCAGTGTGGGTGCAGCCCCGTGCTGGGTGTGCAAGTGTGAGTGCAACCCCGTGCTGAGTGTGCAGTGTGGGTGCAGCCCCGTGCTGGGTGTGCAGTGTGAATGCAACCCCATGCTGGGTGTGCAGTGTGGGTGCAGCCCCGTGCTGGGTGTGCAGTGTGAATGCCTCCATGCTGTGGAGGCAGAGGCAGGAGAACCCCAGGGCTCCCTGTCCAGCCTAATAGACAAGCTTCAGATCTCAATGAAAGACTGTTCAAAACCAGGATGGATGACACCTAAGGTTAACCTCTGGTCTCCACATGTCCCCCTTCATTTCATGCACCCACACACACTAACATGAACACACACCTGCAACACCCACATGCACACGCACTAAAATGCGCGTGCATATGCACCAAAATGTTGTGAAACCTCCTTTGGTTGTATTTGTTCCAAGTTTTGTTATAGTGGCTGCTTGCTTTAATTGTTGCTTTTTGTAGGTGTCATATTAGATTTCTTTGGTCTCACCCTGCACTCATGATCATCAGTATCAGAGCATACAAACCAAGCTATGTTCTCAGTTACGATGGATTGCATACATGTAAATAGGATGAAGCATTAGAAAAGTCACAATCTGCCTTGCAAATTAAGAGAAGATAGCTTTTTCTCGGTGTCTATGTATAGGTGAGTGGGTGTGTGTGCATGTGGAAAGAGAAAAATAGGCAGAATATTCCTCTTTGCTCCAAAATTCAAAAGGGGGATTTAGAAGCCTTACCTCTTGAATTACTGTGTACACAAGAATCAGCTAGGGGCCTTTCTGTGATGCAGAGTGTAATTGAGAAGGACGCTAGATCATTGTGGATGCCCAGGTTTCATTACTGACCTGCTCTTGGATGATGCTGTTATTACAGCTACAGGGTCAACACACTGAGTAGCAAGGTTTTAGAAAGAAATTACTGCAGACTTTCAAAGTGGGGTCCCAGGAGCAGCACCCGTAAATTTGTTGCATACACGCATACACACACACGCACGCACGCACGCACGCACGCACACACACACACACACACACACACACACACACACACGGGGAGAGAAAGAGACCTTGAAATAGTTCTTATTCATGCCACAAGGGAGATTGTGGGTTTTCAAAATCTTCCTTCCTTTTGACCTCTGCAGCATCCTTCTACCAATTCACAGAACAGAAAAGCCAATGCTGTAGAAATGGTTTGCCCCATCCAAGGTGACAGACATCCCTTGGCAGCATATAATTTCCAGTCCCCTGGTGTTATTGTGTCCAGTGCTTCTTTCCCCAACTGTCTAGTGTTAGGGGTCACTTTTGGAGTCTTTAAAAGACAGTATTTCATAGCAGAGCCTAAGCTGACCTCAAGGTCGTGGTCCCCCTGCTACATCATCCCAAGAGCCGGGATTATGAGTGCACTACCATGCTTGACTGCGTTCACAACTTTGTAGGGAGCTGCTGTCATCTTGTACTGCCCAAGTCAGCCTTTTAATCTAAACGACAAGATCAGTCAGTTACGAAATGGTGAGTCTGCCCGACATGTGACAGTCAGCTCACACAGGGTGTGCTAGTCAGGTTTGGATGGGGGGGGGCAGATTCAGCTGGGCATTGATTCAGTTCCCTCAGCGCCTCCAATCTGATAGATTCCAGGATGGGTAGGAGGGAGTGTTGCTGAGCGGAAGCCAAATCCAGTGCTCTCCAAGGAAAGGCTAGGCACCAGCCCATGAGTGTCAATTCTTACTTTCTCCTGTCAGTAAGCTGCATTTCTCTGGGGACCTCAAGTCTAGGGGCCTGCTCTTCCTCTGAACTGTAGAATAAGCTTTTGGATGCTACAGCTTTCTCAGGTAGGGGAGAAGTGAGGAAACCTGGAGATCACGGGGATGCTGTAGGTAGAACCAAGTAAGACATTCTCACCACAAGGGCTTAGATGCTGGAAAGAGACCGTGCCCACCTCCCGGGCCTGGGAAACTAGCTGTTTGTAGGACTTTTTCTCAGAGATGACGAATTTATCTGAACAAGCTACAAGGAGTGACCTTTTATCAAGCATGATTGTCCAGCTTTCCGTTTCTTCCCTGAAACTTGTCCCCCCCCCCACCTACATTGCACACTAACCCCAGTGTCGCCCCAGACAGCTCTTGCCTTGACACTCTTGTAAACCTACCTCAAGCGTCCCAGGCTCAGACCCCAACACCTCCCATATGTAGACAATGCCAGGGAAGGGCCTCAGTCCGCAGCCTCTCTCCACAAAACTCCCAGAATGTTCTCCTGAGACAGGAAGTTCCCTCTGTCATCTTCCATTTTTAACACCGCTGCCTGCCACTTCTCTCCCATCTATCTTCCCAGCCACGACATCCCACGGCCACCCCCTGTGGAACCCCTGCCCTGGCCATTCTGTAAGGTAGACTAACCCTGAAGTGCAGGCTAATTCCCTGGTGGCCCATTCCATCGTGTCTCCCCAAACCTTCGCTAATGCTCTTTCTGGGGCTCTCGTTCTCTGTGAGAAAAACTCCTGAGTTGAGACATGCCATTCCTTGACCAAGCTTGTCCAGGCCCACAGGAGGCCTAACAATTCCTAAAATCATCTTTATCTGGGAATTGAAGCCATGGTCTTTCCTATGCTGGGCAAGCCCCCCCCCCACGCAACATTTTGAAGTACTTTTCAGCTAAGAATGTGGGGCCTACAGGTAGTGAAGCCAACCCCTTTTGTGCGGTTAGTTTATGCTCAGCACAATGCCTGGCACACTTTGAAAGTGAGCCGCTGTTACTGTTTATTCAAGGGCACCACTTGCTGTCTGTGGTTTGATCTTGGTAATGTCAAGGGGGAATTTTCCAAGACCAACTGAATTTAGTAGCATGTGTTTGTGTGTAAAGTCGTAGGAAAAATTAGGCAATTCCTGGACAGGGCCCTCCCTGTACCCTGTACCACTGGCAGGCAGCGTCTACAGAGAACAAAGCAGTGTCTACACAAAAGCTCAGAAAACAACGGACTTGGCTACAACCCAGTCAATCAAGCAGCCGGTTGGTTCCCATTTAACTAGTTTCCAACCCAAATAGTCATCTGGCCATAGTCAACCATTTAAACTCGGTTACTGTGATTGAACGCTATTTGCTTGGTCTTTGGGCATCCAATCTAAGGCTGCCTACACAATTTACAGATCCACAGTAGCACACGGGTTCCGACTTCCAAACTCAGGCCATCAGGTCTGCATGGCAGCTACTTACTTCTACCAACCGAGCCACCTCGCACATCCTAAGATGGTCTTTTTATATGGGCCTGTGTGTGTGACGAGATTCGAAGAGAATGTGAGAAGACAAGGAGAGATCTGGGGGGGGGGGTTAAGAACATACGGGAGAGATGGGAGAGATGAGGGAAGGAAGGAGACCAAGAGGAAGTGAGAGGGGACTCGGGAGGGTAGCGGAGGAGGGGCCCGTGAGAAGAAACAAACACCCTAGTAATGCAACTAATTTCTTAGGAGCTGAGGTCTCCGGAAAGTAGGAGGTGCTGAGCACCCGTGGCCCGCTGATACAGTGCTAAATGCTCTCTGTGAATTGACTTCATTTTCTCCCGGCACTGTGAGGGTCACAGCAAAGCTGAGCTCTGCCTTCTGCCTGCACACATGCAGTCAGCTCCACCACCATGGCGTGCTTGTCACCGTTGCTGAACCACACTGACCTTAGCTCCAGCTTCCTGGAGGAGTGGCAGGGGTCGGGGGGTGACCCCACTGGGCGGCTAGTGTTGCCTGGCCAGCACCACAGTGCCTGGCTGCTGGGTATGAAAGCCTTCTGAGACTGATGGCCAGCCAGATAATTGATTCAGAAGCAGAGGGAGGCAGAGCTCAGAGTACAACTGAGTAATACCTCTTCTGTTCAATTGCACAGCGGGGATTTCTGAACCCAAAGCTTCAAGTCTGTGTGGGAATCGAGCATATGGGAAATCGCTGGTAAGTACAAGAAGCCACATTGGTTGTCTCTGCTGTGCTGGAAACATCTTGAAATGTCTCTCTGGTGCCAGAAAGGGGGCTGGTGTCCTTTGCCCTAGGCTGAGAATCACAGTGGTTCTTTGCTTTTGGGACTCGCCATTGACGCCACGCTGTGTACTTAGGACACACCACTGGCTGCTTCTCTTTCTCAACAAGAGCTGGGTTCACAATCGCAAACAGAAGCTGTGACTTGCTGGCATCTCACGCATGGGGGAGAACTGTGAGGTGTGGCCAGACAGCAATGCCTGACTGACTCCCAGGTGCGGCGGCTCTGAGGTCAAGTGATGCAAAGATCCCGGGCGCTAAGAGTGGCTCCGGCACCATACAAGCACAAATCGCCGGAGGCTCGGTCAGCCTGGCTGCCATCACACACGGCAGCCTGGGGCACTGAGGCATGGCTCACTCTGGGGAGTCCCAGATCTAAGTGACAGCGGGTTTGGTGTCTGGGGAGGGCCTTCCTCTTGCCTGGCAGGTGTACGCGTTTCCACTGTGTTTTCTGGGCATACAAGTAGAGGCAGTGCTGAAACTCTCCCTTCTTCTGAGGGTATTAATCTTATCATAGATGCCCCACCTCAACAGCCTCATCTAAGCCTAGGTACTGCCCAGAGGGTCCACCTCTAAACACCCCCACGCCAGGGGCGGGTAAGGCCCACCTTAGCAAAAGAGTGAGTCACTTTCGAACATCGGTCCCTAACAGCCAGTCATTTGAGGGCAGGGTGCTTCTCAGAGCATCCCGTACAGGTCAGGTTCACTGAGGACCAAGGTTTAAGATGTTCATTAGGCATCAATACCAGTCTTAGGAGTAGAGAGGTAGCTTGCATGCAGGGAGTCGCTGGACCATGATCCAGGCTTAGCACCTTTAAGTGTAGGACCTAAGGTGTGAGCTGCCTATACAAACAGGTCTCAAATGGCCCAACTTTCGTCTTTCTTGGTCACTCCAGTAGGGTCTGTAGGCTGTCCCAGCAAGCATGTGACTCTGAGCAAGGTGGTCCCCTGCAGCAGAGAGAAACTTGCCTATCCTTTGCCCGCCCAGAGTTGAATAGTTTGTCCTTCTTAAAAGAGAAATCGGGGGCATGCCCCCCGATTTATCTCCTCTTCTCCTTTGTAGTCTTCTAGGAATGCATGTGGGGTTCCCTCTCACGTAATAGAGCCAGGAGTGGACGGAGGTGAGATCATCTCAGACACCCTAGGCCCTTGCAGCTGCTACTACTCAACATGAAAATTACAAAGACGCCAGAAGTCAACTGGGCCAGCCCCTCATCCATATGGAACAAATTAGACAGCTATGGGTACTTACGCTCTGGGCGGGAGAGCTGACCCACGGATTTCAGTAAGGTCATTGTATTGAAAACCCATACAAAGGATGGGATGGGGGAAACTTTGCAATGTGACTCAGCAAACAGGGTGGCTAGGCCACTGGCAGAGGGAAGGAAGGCAGAGAGGGAAGGAAGGCAGACTTTAGAGTTGCTGAGATGGAAGAAAAAACAAAAACAAACAAACAAAAAACAAAAAAATGAGGTGGGGATGAAGGAGCAAAGAGTGTCTAGTGGCTTGGGATTTCTGTTCCCCGGCCTCCAGACCGGCTTAGATGGTGCCCTTGGAAGATGCACAGCTGCAGCAAGGGACCAGAGGAAGCTGGGGTAGTGAGGGGCGGTGACGAAGGTGAAGAGGCAGAGGGGCAGTGTGTCCATGTGCTTGAAACCAGTGGAGCTATGCCCCAGCCCTCACCTGACGCCAGCTGTCCTGGGCAAGAGAGAGACACAGAGCCTGCCCACCTAATTCTGATTCAGGGTTGACAGGGATGAGACAGGACTAAGGAGGATAAGGGATGGGGACCAGGCTCTCCTTCCCCAGCTAAGGAGCCTCAGGCTGAGCGGTGGCATGATGGGAAGGAGTAACAGCTAGGGAGGGCCGCTAGGTGGTACAGTAACTCTGCCCTCAGCCTCCCCCGCCCCAGGAGAGAGGTGGTAAAGAGTGGTGTCCTTGACCTGGAATTTTTCCAGAGGCTGCAGGAAATGTGGTGACTTGACACTTTGATGAGGCTTGGAACCGAAGAACAAAGCATAGTGGGTGCCCGTGATGAAGCAACCTCTGGACTTAGCCCTGATTAGGTCATCTGCTAATTTTCAGTTCAGGGCTGGGCCGTTGGAAGGGATGGTGAGCACTCCGTCTCGTACTCTCCCACTTGTCTGGGGCCGGGGCAAGAGAGAACTAGAGAGGGCAAAAATGAGAAGGCACAATGTGTCACAGTCCATGTAGTGCTCTGGGGACACTGGCACAGAGAAAGAAGGACACAGCTAGCAGCCTAGGGGAAGGTGTGCTTGAAAGGCTGACGGAAACGAGGCCTTGATCCAAAGAAGGACAAAGCCGTGTAGAGCTGTGGGTCGGCAGTAGACAAGACAGGGTGCCCACTAGAGGTAACCCTGGGTCAGCTGACTCTCGTAGTCATAGAAGGCCAAGTTGCGAGTCAGCTTTGCAAGACCTCAGGGAGAAGGGTGCACGAGTCTTCCATGCTGAGTTGTTGGATGGGGACACCTGACAGTTAGAGAGTCCAAGTGGGACATGGAGATTGTAGCCAGCCTGGGCACAAATGAGGTCTGAGGAGACATCTTTGGAAGGGAGCAAGAAGGCAAATGGCAAGGCTGTGCTGGTGACGAGCAGAAGCCACAGAGCGGGTGGGAGAGTGAGGGTTCCCTTGGGAGACTGAATGGCTGAAGTAGAATCCCAGGACCAACAGTTTCACAGGCCTTGTTCAATTCAGCGACTCAGGCAATGTCTGGCCTGCTAAATCAGTGGTTTCGACACTACCCTCGGAAGGCCCCCAGCATGTCTGATGCTGACCGAGTGAGGCTGGAGGTGGTACTTCCAGACAGCCCTCTTATAAATGGCTCCAATAAGTGCCGGAGTGGGAATGTGTCTCCACCCCCAGTCTCTTTCCCCACGGCGCAGATCTCTCCAGTGGCCCGGATCTCAGTGAAAGCTCCAGCTGTGGTGGAGGTGGCAGGCAAGGGCTCAGAAAGTGGAGCTGTTCTGGGAAGAGGGTAAGTATCATGCCTTCACACTATACTGCCTGAACAGCTCTCCACCCGTCCCAGTCATGGAGGGGAGAACAGGTAGCCTACAGTCCTCACACTTTATGTACCCAACAAAACCCCTGCCGGCTTTAAATGACCTTGCAGTGAAGCCTACAGTCATGTGTCCAGCTACAGATGCATCAACTGCTTGCCTAGGATTAAACTAGAGCACTTTTCATAGACTCTACTCCATTAACACTGCTGTGTGGCTTTGCTGAATGGATTCAGGAGCCATAGCTAGAACCTCCGTAGACGGTGTCAGAAACACCTCATGAATTCTTTTAGGGACCCTCCTCCACAGGTGCAGAAATGGCTCCAATAGTTTTTGGGATGAGGATGCAGCTCTGTGGCCCAGCACCTGCCTAGCCTGAGTGAGGTCCTGGCTTATATCTCTAGTGCTGTAAAAACAAAACAAACAAAAACAGGGGGCGGTAAAACACACTGTAACCATGGCTCCTTTTAATTCCATCTGATAAAGAGCCAGCCTAGGGTAGCAAGAAGGTTATTCCCGCAGTATGCTATAGGCCTTCAGTGTAGTAAGAACCCCAGAGTTTGAGTCTCAATGTGGACTTTTTGTTTGTTTGTTTTTCTTTTTTTTTTTTTTTCCCAAGACAGGGCTTCTCTGTGTAACAGGCTGACCTGACACTCACTTTATAGACCAGGCAGACCTCAAACTCACAGAGATCCACCTACCTCTGCCTCCCCGGTGCTGGGACTAAAGGTGCCCACCACCATCGACTGGCTCAACATGGATTCTTATACCTCAGTACACATATGAAGAGATGCAGGCTAAAACAATATAGTAAGGGCTGAAGAGATGGCTCAGAGGTTAAGAGGGCTGCTCTTCTAGAGGTCCTGAGTTCTATTCCCAGCAACCACAAAGTGGCTCACAACCGTCTATAATGAGAGCTGGTGCCCTCTTCAGGTGTGCAGGCAGACATGCAGGCAGAACACTGCATACATAATAAATAAATAACCTTAAAAACAACAGTAGCATATAATTCGTTTTCTCTTGTTAACTACAAAATACTACAGACTGGTACATTATAAAGAATAGATGTGATCCAATGCCAATGGACTATACCCAAAGATGGCCTCTCTGTGGGCTGAGGTAATAGAAAACACCTGAGAGACATATTCAAACTGCCTTTTACAGCAGATCCTCTCTTGAGAAAGCCCATTAACCCGAGAATCAGTTAATCCACTCATGAGGCAAACCCCACCCCCACCCCATCCCCGACCAATCCCCACCCCGCTCTTTGATTTTCCGTTTAGATCCAGACACCTCAAGAAGATAGCGGAAGATTTCCCAGCCCTTCCCCAGGGAGCCGAAGCCTCCCTGCCATTGACAGGCAGTGCCTCCTGCGGTGTCCCTGGCATCCTACGAAAAATATGGACCAGACATAAGAAGAAGTCGGAATACGTGGGAGCCACCAACAGCGCCTTTGAAGCCGACTAAAGGTGCCCTTTCTTGGGTACCTTGCATTGGCCAAGGGTCACAGAAGGAGAGAAGAGTTGAGGATTGGGACTGAGCCACCCTCCCCTCTGCTTGGTTGCTAGTCCAAACACATCACCCTCCTTCACACTCTGGCATGAGCCGTGGAAAGTAACGAAAGTACCTTCCGGGAAGGCAGGAAAGCTGTTCCCCAGACCTGCTAAAGCCATGGGTATAAAGTCTTGTTGGGAGGTTATAAAGGCTATACCCCTGTCTTTAGGAAACCAAAAGCAAACCTTCCTGGCCCGTTTGAAAGCCCTCCCAGGAAAACAGAAGGTGGTTGTTCTGTCTCCTTTGTGAGTTTTCCCAAAACGTGTGATTTCTGGTGTAAATGTAAAGACATGCGTGGCTCTGAGACACTCCTGACACAGTGGTTCTTACTTTCCCTGTTCCATGTGGCTTTTGCCTTGATGAGATACAAGGCACTTCATCTTTACTTTGTCCCAATAGCTACCTAACAGCATCATCTCTGCTTTGCTAGCCACGGGCATGGAGGCATGAGTTCTCTTACGTGGGGTTTCTCTATAGAACTTCAGTGTTAATTTTGGTGTCTTCCATTTTGTGAAGCGGTGAAATTGACCAGCTTAGAGTGATTTTCCCCTTTGTCGTATCTTCCTACCATTGCAAAGCCACCGTTAGAAAGCACTGTGGCTCCCAACAACAGATGGGAAGACCAGGGCCTCTGGATGTCATGGGACTAGACTGCAGAGTATCACCGGGTCTTAGCTTCTCTCTAATAACTGATGTAAGGGAAATTTTCAATGGAAAGAAGATTCTGATAAAGGCAGACTAAAATAAATGGGATGTATCATTATGCACTAGATTATTAAAATGCACTGTATGGTAGCAGAGGGCAGGATCCCAGCTTCCCAAGAGAGTTAGGCAAGGGGATCACATGTTTGAGATATGCCTGGGCAGATTAGCAAGACCCTGTCTCAAAACAACACAGAGAGACACACACAGAGAGAGACAGAGACAGAGAGAAAGAGGACACAAAGAGAAACCAGAAGAAATTGCCATTTTTATAGCTTGAAAACAGCTGAAAACCTATTTGCTGTGGCTCAAACTAATAATCACTCTCATTGAAAATGATCATATAAGAAATGATGGTAACTATAGCTATCTGTATTAACTGCCTGCCTGTCCAGGCACAGTGCTGAGCCATTCACGTGAAGTACTCTATCCTTCCTAACAACTCAGTTAGGAGAATTTGCCCACTGTATATGAAGACATCAGTTCCAAATGGTTAAATGATTAGTTCGAAGTCACCTGTCTTCGATGCCCATGTTATAGCTATCTGCTCCTTGGCACAAAACAAGGGACAGGGAAGGACCAAAATCAGCAATGAATCATCTCAGTGGCCTGGGAGAGGCTGCCTGGAGGAGACAGGATGGAGATGGAATGTGAGGTATTAGACTAACTTGATGAGTGGCGTCTGCGTGTGGAGTGATCGGTAACACAGACCTTCTATATTTCTCCTCTGCCCCAGAAGTCTTATGTCCTCATTAAGAGGCTTAAATTAATATAGAAAGCAGAAGCACCGTGCTAAAACCGACCCTACGGCTGTGTTGAGAATCGCCATGTCTTGGCACAGAAAGAGTTTGAGCAGTTTGGGTCTTGAACTCACTGCTGCCCAGTGTCATGTGGCGTCTGCTCTCTCGAGTCTGGCCCTCGAGGTGAACTGTCATGTGGCAGGGTAGGTCAGTACCCGGACCTCCAAGCTCTCATCCTGCTCACTCCTCATCTTCAACACCACTTGAGACTCCCAGCACCTGACCCTCACAGCCCAACAGTCTGGAATTTGGGCTTCAAGGGCTTTCTCACTAAGGGGACAGTCCCTGTGGACTATCTGATGTTATACCCAATATTAAGCTGGAATCTAGAAGGAAGTTAGGGAACAAACAGGTCAAAGAGTCTCCAATGGTTGGATTTATTTAACTTAAAAATGGATATCTTCAATGTGCGTGTGTGGTACCTGCAGATTTCTGTACAGGCTGGAACTCATTTATCTTTAAGTATTTCATGGTGAAGCGTTTGCCTTGTGTAGAACATTTCAATTCAAATGGCTAATTCAAATCAAAATAAAGTATGCCTTGTTTGTGACACTAATAAACCACTTGAAGAATGTATCTGAGGCTCCCACATCCCATTAGAGAAGATTTGCACAATGGGAAAAGATTATGCATTTGGGCTTCACAGGAAATATGAAGCCAGCATGCTCTTTCCATCCTGAGGCAATGTCTGGGTCTGATATTATAGGCCCCGCCCACCAGTCAGTACCAGGGTCTCCTCTGAAGGGACTGGCTGAATGACCTATGCTCCCAGGGCTTGCCTTCCTCCACTGCTCAGACCTTTCAGTACCCAGCACAACTTCCAGGGTTCCAGTGACCATCCCGGGCCTGCTGGCTTCTCCCCTGGCCTGGAAAGATGCAAACTTCCTCCTCTGTGCCCACCTCATGCTTCTAGCTGGAGACTGCCCCGTGACTCAGAGCACAGCCACTCACAGAAGGGTGCCAAGGCTGACTACAGGCTGCTGTCTGGCAATAGCCAAGACTGGAGTCTGCCTGAGCCGGAGACAGCATTTCCAGGACATGTAGGGTAATAACATTGCCTCTGTTAGGACAGTGGCCAGTCCCATATTTCAGCTCGTACTCTGTCTGGAGATGGCCCACCCCAGCCAGCACCAAGGTTGCCGGGAGCCGGCAGATGGGCAGTGGGTAGGAAAAGCAAGGCAGCCAAGCCCAGTTTTAAAAAGGAATCATGTGAATGCGGCAGGTCGTCTCTGACATAAAGTTGGCAGACTTAGAGAGAGAGAGAAAAAAGGAAGGGCACAGGCAAGGGGGGGGGGATAGAATAGCACTCCATCTCTAATTAGTCTCCAGCATGCCATCCTCCACCCTGACGAGGGTGTCCCCGTCCCTCTCAAAGGACAAGGAGGACTGCTCTGAAGAGCAGCCTCCACACCTGGCCTTTTGGTTTGACGACACATGGGGCCTGGGACGAGATTCTTATCCCTTCCTTGGGATGGGGCAGGAAAGTGGATAAACAGCTACAGACTGAACTCTGACACCGGCACAGTCATGGACAGGATGGCTAAGCCTACCCTGGCCACACCCTTGGCCCTTGTTGGGCTCTGTAGAAGATCCAAGCTGAGAGGCTCTTACAACTCTGTGTCCAAGTCTCTCCCCACACCCCTCAGATTTCTCAGGCCAAGGCAAGGGCCCTTTCTGGGACACCACCAGCACACCGCTCCCCCCAGTTCCCTTCAGTGGTAGGATTGAATCCAGGGTCCTCTAGCACTAGGCAAGGCCCTGCTGCTGGGCCACACATTCAGCCTTCCCCGTCTCATTTTTTAAAGTGTATTTTCAATCAAGTTGTCACTACATTGTATAGACAGTCCCCTCACACTGGGCTCCCAAATAGCTGGGATTACGGGCAGGGGTCACTGTACTGAGCTCTGGGCCGGCCCACAGAGAGGATGTTTGCAAATTCTCCTGTCCCCAGGTGGCTGAGGTTAAAGAAGCCGCCATTTTCCAGTGGGGCAGGTGGTCTGAATCCTGCCTGACCCCCCCTCTCCATAGACACCTGTCCCTGGAGTGCTGACCAGCATGTGGGGATTCTACCCATGAGAAACAAGTTGAGTGTCCTTTCCAACCACCTGAGCTCCAGGGAGAGGCCCACCTCAATGTCGCCCCGTTTTGTTCATGTCTCACTCCACAGAGCTAAGCACTCTACCCACCAGGAAATGGAGGGGCTTGGCAGAAAGAGGGCTGGGGGGGACATCAGTCCAGCAGCAACACTCACTCCACAAAACCCAGCTATTTGTAGCATACTAGATCCTACAGATAATGCTCCAAGAACAAGCGTGTTCCCCACATGCCAGCCTTTAGATAAAGACAAGAGCCTGCATAAGCTATGCATGGTTGTTCTTGGTACCACCCAGGACTAGTTCAGACCAAAGCTAATCATGAGGGCAAGCTTGTTCTCTGCAACCCCATGTTGCCACACACACACCCACACACCCACACACCCACACACTTTCTGTTCCCTTCCTTGCTTTCCCCACACACTACACCTTGACCTCAGACCCCAGGGCCCTTTGGCCACCCAGGACTCTTATCTCTCCCAGTCTTGAGTACCCCATGCTCTGCACTTCCAACCGCAGAGACCCTGACAATGAGAACTTGGGTCTCATTGTGCAACCCCTGAAGACTTATGAGTCCACTTTCTTCCTTGGTTGAAAACAAAATGTCCTACCTTCCTCTGTGTCCCAGAAATGATTGAACAAATTCACCTGTGCCAATATGCCGCTGAATTTAGTGTGACTGCTCAAGGGAGAATATTGGAACACTTCCATGATAGCTGAAAATGTCCGGGGCTACACTGAGCCTTCATCCCATGTTGTCTCTGGTCACTGGGCCCCTCCCTTGGGGTTCTCACCAACTTTTCTATGGACAGAACTCATGGGTAATGCCCCACATGGCAGAAGGGTTGGAGGCTCAGAAATCACTTAGTATTATGACCAGTATTTACCCTCGCCCGTCACTTTTGAAGGCTCTGGCAGTTCTTAAATGCGGGATTGTCCTGGAGACAATGCGTTAGAACGAGCCTGACTTACAGACTGAAGTATAGACCACATAAGCAAGCCGTGGACTTTGCTCTTCACCTTGTTAGAGGTCATATAGCCCTTACCGAAAGTATTGGAGGGATGGAGAAGAGAGACTGTCTTCAGGACTGCAAAGTGATGTTTCGAGTTCTTTGCATTCACAGTATAAGTCTTCAGAAGCGAATGTCCTCTGTATAGAACACAGAAAACTCTTGGCAGGGTCCCACCCTTCAGCCCAATAGCTATGGAGCCCTGACAGCTTAGAAACGACAGACACGTGCCGGACTCGGGCAAGAAGACTGGGCGCCAAGACCCCAGCTCACTTTTCTCATACTGAGACCATGTCCTTGCTGCTTGAGTTTCTTTGGGCCTCTGTTTTGCCTCACCCATGCACGAGAATTGAATTACCTACCCGATCTACCTCACAGGCCGATGAAAACTCAACCGAGCCCAGGCCTAACCCGGCTTTGAAAATTGTGAATTGTGCTAACATATGGTGTTGTGATGATCCGCCCCATTCAGAAGAAGCAGACAGAGCTGGGCGGGGAGAAGTGACTCAGGCAGCAGGCAGGCGTGAGGACTGAACACTAAACAGGGACCCGAAATAGAATCATTTCCTGAGCCCAGGGGCCAGCGTTCTCAGACGACGATGGTGGGCAGGGGAAGGGCTCCAAGCTGGCTGAACCCAAGGTTCCCCATTTCCCACCTGAGCATCGGGGCTAATCCT